TTATGATGATCAAAAAAAAAAAAAAAAAGAATGAAAATCTATCAACTGTGGACGTGTTGAGGCCAGATAAACATCAGCCAATAGAAAACGAGGCTGCCTCATTTTCTATTGGCTGTCAGGTCGTCAATCAAACTCCCTACGTTTCTAGTGTAACTGACTCGTCGGGATGCAGGGATCATGTGGTTTATGCAGCGGTTCTTAGAGGCTTTTTCAAACTGTAGCTTCCTCACATTTCTCACAAAGTTTGTCGCGACGGCGGACGAGAATCCACGACCGGTTCGCCGCAAAAGAAAGTCGTTTTTGAGGTCGCTGAAAGACGAAGAGAAGGGGAAAAGGAGCGAAGACAAACCGAGGTGATTCTCAGAGATTCCTTCCTGTGATTGCGCGAATGAAGCGGACGAAGGGTCTAAAAACTGACGCGTCGGTCGATAAATTATTTCTAGACAGGTCATTTCAACAGTAATTCTGAACGGGCACTGGCTGTAAAAAAAAAAACGTGATTTCTAGAGTAAAGAGGCGGGAGGAGATGTTTCTACTGAGGGAGCTGTGGAGGATGAAGGTGGTGTCACGCAGGCACAACATTTGTAAAAGAACTGTCGCTGTATTTCTCTTCCCTTAAAAAAAATCCTCTATACAACCTTTAAGGACTTTTTTCATGTGATACTTTGAGTACTTCTATAATAGCTTTAAGTATCTGCCGAAGAATGATAACAGCATTTCTTTCCTTTAAACAAAAATAAAATAAGACAAAACTGATCCTAATATGTTACGTAGTTATTATTTTACCTCAAGTAAGTATAGAACAGAGTTGTGTAAGTACAATTTCACATCATGAGACTTTGAGGACCAACTACGACCAGGAAATAGTCGACATAAACTCACCAGAATATCCAGCGAATCCATATTTCGAAGCTGATATCCAATCCAGCAAATTTTTCTGGACACAATTTCGTTTTTACCATGATTCACTCCTGGATGAATGAAAGATTACACCATTTTGTCTTGCACATTGTCAGTATGTGAGATTCTTTCTGATTTCAAGTGCATTTTTCTTCCCATTTGGAATATACGATACCAAAAATTAGGAATGGGACACAAGATTTCATAAGACAAAATTGCCACAAAATATATTATCTTGTGAGATTTTTCACTTTACTTTTCTTGAAAACAGTGCAGTCAAATATTTTAAAAAGTAAATAAAAAATGACGGTGCCAAAATTGTGAACTGGAGCACTTATTTTTAAAATTCTAGATGATCCCAAAATCTCATCTTGTCTCAGTCGAAATGTCTCGTCTCTCCTCTACCAAAAAGAAAGCAAGTTAATTCGATTCCACCTTGAAAACGCCCGATCTCGCCTGATCTTGGACGCTGGTCAGTACTTCGAGGAGTGACCAGGTGCCACAGTGGGACAGCAGTTCTTGTGTCCTTGGGCACGACACTTCGCCCTCCTTGTCTGATGTTCTATATGCATCTCTATTGCCTGAATTCTTCTTCTTATTTTTTTAATTTATGTATTTATTTTGGACAAGTAAGAAATGTATGTTCTTTTACAATGGAACATATAACATTCGTGAAATCATAGCAGAAATAACAAAAAAAAATTGCCCAAAAAGGAGTGGGAAGAAGAAGAAAACTTAATTATCGTTGGTTACCATGGTGACACAATGTGCACATCAGCAAACAGAGCCAAAAAAGTTTTAAAATCATTTGAAAACTCAGGAAAAAAAAAACACAAAATGGATTTAAACAGCACATTTTCAGAAGCCTGTAGTCAATACAATCGTTCATGGTTTTGTTTAGGAGTTTGATTTTCAACAAAAAGGTGAAATTACTGAAAAACTGTTGTGTGAGAAACTTGTTTAACATCACAAACCAAATCCCCTGTTGTAGTTTCAACCAAGCCACCTCTTTTTGGTCAGACTGTGTTAAAACGAAGTCAACTTGAATAACAGAGCTTCTAAGGCTACGTTCAGACTGCAGCCTGAAGTGACCCAAATCCGATTTTTTCGCCCGTGTGACTTGTGTCTGATCTTTTAATGACTGTCTGAACAACACAGATCCGACTGCTCAAAAGCGACCCAGGCCACTTGGATATGTGCTCCTAAAACCGATACATATCTGATCTTTTGACATGCGACTTCAGTCTGAACGGGCAGGTCACATTCATCCCACCTACACGTCAGGCTCGGAGTCTAGTCAGTGGAGTTTATTAATATTGTTATTCAGGTCAAATCAGAGCGGTCTTATCGGAACTGGGCGGTTTTTGAAATGATTGCCAAAGAAATGTTCGAGCGCGTCTACAGTCGGTCCTGGCTCCAATGTCAACGAAAAATAAAGAGCCTGCGAGCCAAATACAAGGAGGATAAAGACTCAAACGAAGCGGCCGTGGACGTGTAACCTGTACATTTTACGAAGAACTGGACCATGTTTTGGGAGACAAGCTCAGCGTTTAGACAACTTCTGATGTTGTCGTGTCCTCCAATGCGGGCACTTTTGGGGTGTTTAATGTTCACTCTGGAAATCACATACAAGTCACATTTAAAGGTTGTATAGAGGATTTTCCAAGGAACGAGAAATCCAGCGACTGTTTGTCCTTTTTCAAATGTTGCGCATGCGTGAAACCACCCCCCCTCCCCTACAGCTCCTACGTAGAAACGCCTCCTCCCTCCTCCTCTTTACGCCAGAAACAGGTTTGTTTACAGCCGGTGCTGCACATGACTTGTAAACAACTAACTACAGTGTTGGTTAGGCAAGACGGAGAAGTGAGGAGCGGGGGAGGGGGTGTGCGGACATTTCGTGCGCGGACGAGAAGTGAGGAGCAGGGAGGAGAAGAGGAGCGGGGAGCGAGGAGAGGAGAGGAGAGAGAGGGGGAGCGGTGCGCGGAGATTCCGTGCCTGGAGAAGTGAGGAGCAGGGGAAGAGCGGATCGGGCAGCGGGGACAGGAGCAGGAAAGGGGTGCAGAGAAGGTTGCGCGGAGATTCAGTGCGAATGAACTAGCTACAACACGCAGCAGCAAGCGGACTCTTTCTTTGCCTTGAAAATTACGTTTTCAGACATAGGATATCGCTTTCGTGTCCTGAAAAACGTTTGTCTAGCTCTTGGAAATAAAGTACGTTTTCATAATAAGCAGAAGTTTCCTGTCCAGGAGTAATTTGGCGACCAGTGCGTCAGTCTTTAGACCCTGCGTCTGCTTCAGTCGCGCCATCGCTGGAATGAATCTTCAAGAATCACCTTAGTTTGGCTTCGCTGCTTTTCCCCTTGTCTTCTTCTTTCAGCGACCTCAAAAACGGACTTTCTTTTGCGGCGAACTGCTCCTGGATTCTTGTCGCCATTGCAACAAACTTTGTGCGAACTGCGAGGAAGATATAGGTCAAAAAAAGCCGCTAAGAACTGTTGCGTTGGTGGAAGTAAACAGCGTCTGTGCGTCTTGCGTCTGTGGACTGCGTGACAGTCGTACATAAACCACGTACCGGCGGCGCGCAGGCAAGTCAGTTACGCTAGAAACGTAGGGAGTTTGATTGACAGCCTGTCAGCTCAACAGATAACGAGGCAGTGTCGTTATCTATTGGCAAATGTTTAGCCCCACCACGTCCAGAGTTGATGAATTTTTATTCTCTTTTTTTTGGTCATCATAATTACAAGGCTACTGCATCTCTATAATGCTATCATTGACAACTTGAAACAAAAAAAAATCCTCCATACAACCTTTAATTGGACATGTGAACGACCTCTCAAAAAAATCGGATTTAAAAAAAAATCAGAATTGAGCATTAAACCCTGCAGTCTGAACGTAGGTAATGTTGATGATATCAGCTGCAAAGTATCAGTATGAATGAGATTGTGTTTGTTTTGCTTAGGGATGCACCGGTCCAGCTTTTTCTGGTCCTATATTTGGGCTTTCTCTGCTGATACCCGATATCAACCGATACTAGGGCAGAGACTGATTATAGTTTTTATTCCGTCGAAATGTTGTATTGTAAACAATTATCCAAACGTGTTTTGTAACTCGTATTCATCATGTAAAGTAACGACAGAACAGCTTGGAGAAAGTACAACTTCAGTGTTACGAGGTGTTTTGGGTCAAAACTGATCACTAAATCGTCTTATTACACCAATTTATAAAACAAAAATGGGATAACAACTGAATTCATTCATTCATTCATTCGTTTTTCAAAATAAAACAAAAAATACAAAAACAAAAAAACAACTCTTTTCTTCATTATTTGTCTCTAAAACCAAAATGAAAAAAGAGGTAGTGATTTGTTTTTTTCAGTTTTCTGTTTCTTGTTTCCGTGACTAAAACTGCGATGCCAGACTTTTGCGCTGCATACGGACTGAACCAGGACTGAACCAGGACTGAACCAGGACTGACCCAGGACTGAACCAGGACTGAACCAGGACTGAGTGTCCGGATGGGCCCGGAGGTGTGCCCACGTAGACTGTTGGGTGATCGGGACTGAGACCAAGAGTGAGACTGGGACCAGACCAAGACCAGACCAGCACTGAGACCGGGACTGAGACCAGGGCTGAGACTGGTTTAGTCCTGGTGTAGTCTTGATTTAGACCTGGTTTAGTCCTTGTTCAGTCCTGGTTCAGACCTGTTTTAGTCCTGTTTTAGTCCTGGTTTAGACCTGGTTTAAACCTGTTTTAGTTCTGTTTTAGTCCTGGTTCAGTCTTGGTTCAGTCCATATGCGGTGCAAAAGTCTGGTTGGTTTTGGAGACAAATAATGAAGAAAGTTTTTTTTTTTTTTTCGTTTTCTTATTTTTGGTTTTATTTTGAAAAACAAATGAACGAATGATACACGGATTCGACTGAATTGATATCTTGAAAACGATATCAGATTTGTCAAAAATAGTTTTCCTGGTTGTTGTGGTGTTTTGTTTAGTGTTTTTTTCATTGCAGAACAATATTTTCAGACAAGATTCTGAGTCCATTTATCTACATTATTTTTTCTTTACCTCTTTTCATTCACTCTGTCACACCTTTTGTCCCCTCCAGGTACCTGTACTTTGAGTACAACGAGATCCACGACATCGACCGCGGCACCTTCAACACCATGCCCTCGCTGCAGCTGCTCTTCCTCAACGCTAACCTCCTGCGCAGTCTGCCTCTGGGCGTCTTCTCCGGGGTCAACCTGGCCCGACTCAACCTGAGGAACAACCACCTCCTGCAGCTCCCCATGGAGGGCGTCCTGGAGCACCTGACGGCCCTCGTGCAGGTGAGTACACGCGACGACACCAGGCTTTTTGGGTGGTGTTTGTTGTTGGTCTGGATTTGAATGTCGTCAAGGAAAGAAACGTGTTTATTATGAGGCTTTGTTTGATTTGTTTTATATTACCAGGACTAAACCAGGACTAAACCAGGACTAAACCAGGACTAAACCAGGACTAAACCAGGACTAAACCAGGACTAAACCAGGACTAAACCAGGACTAAACCAGGACTAAAACAGGACTAAACCAGGACGACTAAAACAGGACTAAACCAGGACTAAAACAGGACTAAACCAGGACTGAACCAGGACGAAACCAGGACTAAACCAGACTAAACCAGGACTGAAACCAGGACGAAACCAGGACTAAACCAGGACTAAACCAGGACTGAACCAGGACGGACTAAACCAGGACTAAAACAGGACTAAACCAGGACTAAAACCAGGACTAAACCAGGACTGAACCAGGACCCAGGACTAAACCAGGACTAAACCAGAACTAAACCAGCATCAAACCAGGATCAAACCAGGACTAAACCAGGACTAAACCAGGATCAAACCAGGACTAAACCAGGACTAAACCAGGACTAAACCAGGACTAAACCAGAACTAAACCAGGATCAAACCAGGACTAAACCAGGACTAAACCAGGATCAAACCAGGACTAAACCAGGACTAAAAAAGGACTAAACCAGGACCAAACCAGTACTTAAACAGGACCAAACCAGGACTAAACCAAGCTCTAAATCAGGAACTAACCAGGACTAAATCAGGACTAAAACAGGACCAAACTAAGACTAAAGCAAGACTAACTTAGTACTAAACCAGGACCAAATCAGGGCTAAACCAGGGCCAAAATAGGACCAAACCAGGATCAAGCCAGGACTAAACCAGGATCATACCAGGACTAAACCAGAACCAAACCAAGATTAAATCAGGACCAAACCAAGACTAAACCAGGATTATACCAGGACTAAACCAGGACTAATTCAGGACCAAACCAGGACTAAACCAGGTCTAAACCAAGACTAAACCGAGACTAAACTAGGTCTAAACCAGGACCAAATCAAGACTAAACCAGGACCAAATCAAGACTAAACCAGGACTAAACCAGGACCTAACCAGGACTAAATCAGGATCATACTAGGACTAAACCAAAACCAAACCAAGATTAAATCAGGACCAAACCAAGACTAAACCAGGATCATACCAGGACTAAATCAGGACCAAACCAGGACTAAACCAGAACCAAACCAAGATCAAATCAGAACCAAACCAAGACTAAACCAGGATCATACAGGACTAAATCAGGACCAAACCAGGACTAAACCAGGTCTAAACCAAGACTAAACCTAAGACTAAACTAGGACTAAACCAGGACCTAACCAAGACTCATCCAGGTCCAAATCAAGACTAAACCAGGACTAAACCAGGACCTAACCAGGACTAAATCAGGACTAAACCAGGTCTAAACCAAGACTAAACCAGGACTTAACCAAGACTAAACCATAACCAAACCACAACCAAACCAGGACTAAACCAGGACTAATTGCTGATTCATTCAGATTTTTGTATCATTATTATATTGAATATTGTGTGTACCTTCTCAGTGTTGTTTTTTATGCCAGATTGGTCCTAGTTGCTGATGTAAACAAACATAAACCCAAAGAAAACCTGCTTTAAAAGGCCTATATTACACTATTTTCTGATCTTTGTTGTAATGTTGTTTCCTCATCACAAACTCCAGGTCTGTTTTTGACGAGGTAACAACATTAGAACATGTCTAAAAGCTCACAAGAGTCAATTTTGTGTAATATAGGCCGTTTAAGTGCCCAAATATCTCTATTAAAACGCTTTTTAGGAAATTTCAGCTTCCCGGTGTTAGATTAATAGCCTTTCTTCCCGTTAAAGTGAGTGAAAATCCAGATAAAAAGCGTTTGATAGGACAGGTTAGACTGCTCATATCACTAAACACGATTATATTCAAGATAATAATGACACAGATACAAAACTCAGCGCTACTTCTTGTATTTTTTCTTCAACTTTTCCTCTCAAACTGCCACGTAACTGATGTAAAACCTTGATAAACATTTACCACAGGTCCTATCCGACCTAATTAAGAGATAATTAGAAAAACATGAAAACCTACTTCACGCACTTTAATCTCTTAATCCCTGAAATTCTCTGGCAATTCTTTTTAAAACCAAATAACGATGAAATAGTTGTATTTTCTTTCATTTGGCTGCCCTGAAATAGAGCAAAGGATCATGGTCATTATAGTTTGGGTTGTTTTTTTTTGGCGTTTTTTACTTTTAGATTTTCATCAATTTTTTTTTTTTTTTTTAGGGCTGGGCACCTTAATGCGTTAATTTTGCGTTAACTAATTAATTCATTAATGCCCACAATTATTTAGAAAAAGTTCAGCGTGAGTGAGTTTACTGCTGTGGCGCTCACAGTAAACAGAGAGAAAGAACCCGGGATAAACAAACTTGGAGAAGGGTGAGGAACTTTTACACGGCCATTTTCATTTTAAAGTTCTTCCAGATGGTGCAGTCGACACAGACAAAGTCATTTGTAACACTGCATCACTGAAGTGTCTTATCACCGGAGTTTCATGAGTCTGAAATATCACCTGAATGCAAATTATTCAGTGAAACAAGTGCAGCGAGGCTCCGGCCGACCACGTCACATGTAACGTGTCAGAGCCGTCGCCCCGCACGAGCACATTACGCACAGCGAGTAGAGCCTTCGGGGGCACCACTTCGAGGTCGATCGCTCTTTGGCTGCGTTCAGACTGCAGCCTGAAGTGACCCAAATCTGATTTTTTTTGGCCCCTATGTGACCTGTATCTGATCTTTTAATGACAGTCTGAACGACACAGATCCAATTTTTTCAAATGCGACCCAGGACACTTCGAAATGTGGTCCTGAAACCGATACATATACTGATCTTTTGACATGCGACTTCAGTTGTGAACGGTCAAAACGCATTCAATCCGACCTACACGTCATCAACAAGCCACAAACGTCACTATTCTGCGCTGAAGTAGGCGAAAATTGTTAATGAACTCTGTGTCACTGAAACGAAGCACATCACCACTCACCACTCTTGGCTACGTCTCCACATCCACACGTTCCTTTCAACGGACGTCGCTGCTGCTGTCCCACAAAACACAACGACCAAAAACCTCGTCCTTCTCCTTCTCAATCTCCTCCTTAAAACAAGTAAGTTGTTCATGTTCTGGCTCTGGTACGAGAGGAACTTTAAAATCGCCAGGTGCTCAATGCTCGTGTCCATGTTTGGACAACTTCTGTAAACACAGAGACGCTCGCTGTGGTTGACGTCATCGTGTCTCCAGTGCACATGTGGGACACTTTCGGACCATTTACTGTTCACACTGGAGTCACATACAAGTCGCATTTAATTGGAAATGTGAACGACCTCACAAAAACATCGGATTTCACAAAAAAATCGGAATTGAGCGTTAAGCCCTGCAGTCTGAACGTAGCCTTTGTCGCAATCCCCCCACCCCTGGTCTCACGTTTTTTTATGCGAGAAGCTGGTGCAAGCGATCGCATTCTTAATAATAATAAAAATCTTGTATGCCTTAGCAACTGGCTTTGTTAAGAAAAGTTTAAAAAAAAAAAGAAAAAAAAAGAGTTCTAGGAATTGACGAATTGCACTGAAAGTGTTTTTTGGTTGCGTGTACTTTTTTCTGGTGACTGTTTTTGACTGAGATTCTCATTTTTATATCAAACAGGAAACATTAACGCCCTGACAGTGGAAATACATTTCAGTTTTGTATTTGGTTTGATTAGATTTTTTCAGTTGCGATTTACTCTGAACTGCTGATCACATGTACTTTACTTCTGAATTCAGCTCATTAAGTCAAATTCTAGGAATTGACAAACTGCACTGAAATTGGTTCTTTTTGTGAGTAAGATTTAAATGAATAATGGAAAACACAGATAACGGCCGTTTCCCGTTTACGTGACTTCTGTGACTGCGATGCCGGACTTCTGCGCCGCATCCGGATTGAACCAGGACTGATCCAGGTCCAGTACCTTTGTTTACATTTCCAATAAAAGTGCACTGTCCTCTACTTTTGAATTCATTAATTGGTTTTACATATAACATGCGATTAATCATGATTAATCACAGGAACTCAGGTGATTAATGCGATTTTTAAAAATTTTTGTACAGCCCTATTTTTTTATTTTTTATTTACCTGTTACTAGAAAACTATATACTATTTGCAACAGTAACCTTCAGTAATTTATTATTTAAATGTCACAACAACTTTTGAATGCAGCCTTGCGTTACCAACTATAGTCTGAAACATTTATTTATATTTTATTTTTGACTGTTTTTCTTTTTTACTTCGTTTTTACTCCTTGCCCAAATCGTACAAGGCTGCTCTACTTTATTTTAGTGGCCTCCAAGATGTATTCCAAGATGTGTTTTCCATCAATACAATTTGTTCCATGCCGAGAAAAGAACTCCTTGCTCAAATATAAGTAGTATAAGGTCCATACAGAGTGCGTTGTATACAGTGTGGTTTGTGTATTTGTATTGTCAGATAAAAGAAAGGTACAGAACATTATTATAGAGCAGAGATGGAGGCATTGTGTGCACAGATAGTGTTTCTTTTATGCAGTCGGGCGAAGCGCTGGACGATACACAAATCCCACAAAACTAAACAAGACGTAAGATTGGGTCTGGGACAAAAAAATCTATAATATTAAGATTTTTTTTAAGGATAAAGCAGCGTCGCGTGTGTGTACCGTATGTATATATATATTTATATTTCAGTTTCTGGGCACGGTGCTTTTTAACTTGTATAAATTGTATTTCTCTTCATGACAAGTGACTGGTCAGATCAGCGGAGAGGAGATCAACTCACAGTTAGGATGCATGTTATTTATGGTTTTTCAGGGTAATAAGAACACGGAATTATGAGGGGTGTGACGGTAGAAAAATCACGGTTTGGTTCATTTTCAGTAAAGT